CCGAAGCATCAGGGGAGAGACCAGCCGGCCCCCAGACCATATCGGCTAATCCCTTGCATCTCTGCCACGCACGGAATCGGTTGAAAAACTTATGTCAAAAAGTCTAGTCTATCTGGTTCTTTGTTTTCACGGCTATTGTTGTGCTAATTTCTTGAAACCGTGGACTAGTGGGAAAATCTTGGACTTTCAAGTCACTGACGGTCAAGCCCGGTTAAGTGGGGTTAGTTATTGGATGGGTGACTTAAACCTTATACCTACTCAAGCTTTTGTCTCCCTCCCTTTTTTTCAGTTTGAAGCTTGATATTAGAATAGATATAGAATCAGGGGAAAGTTAATTTTCCAATGATAGAACTTTGTTATTTTCATCGGTAAATGTCCCTTTCACAGTTCCCGGCGCCATCTTAAAAGGTAGTAGTGCGTTTGCATCGAAGTTTGCATGATAGAGTCCCTTTTTAACACCTTGGACAATTGCTCACATGTTTCAAAGTAAAGTTCGAGAAACGTGAAAATTGCGAAGAAAAAACGTAAAGTTCAGATAAATTGCGCGTTAAAAAAAATTTAGGATGCAAACATATCATTTGAGAATACGCTAAATGTGAATATCATGTCATGAAAGATGAAAGTTCAGATCAACTCGTGTTTAATTCGTTTCGGGGAAAATGCGTTGTCGTATGGTCAGCTGTAGTACCGAAAGTCGTAACTTACAAGTGAAACGTCTGAATCCACCATGATCAGTATCATTTCATATATATTGTAACATGGGCTGGGCATTTTAGGAATTAAATATCGAACGAATGGACGAATGAATGAATAGATAACTGAGTGAATGAGTGAAGGAATAGATTAAATAAACAAATGGATATCTATTGGACAAATTAAAGAATATATAGTTAAGTGAACGAGTGAATGAGAAAATAAATGGGTTGTATGGATGAACGAACGAACGAACGAACGAACGAACGAACGAACGAACGAACGAACGAACGAACGAACGAACGAACGAACGAACGAACGAACGAACGAA